ACTTTAATTAAGTAGTTTAATAAAGAAAGAAGAATAGGACGGAATGAGCATTTTAAATGTGAAATTTTAGCCATACCAGCTTCTACTTATGCTAAAATTGCCCATATCTAATAAATTGCTTTTTTATTATGTGGAAACAATGTTTTCCCTGAGTAGGCAGCAATTCCAATAACAATGTTATTCATCCTATTTATTTGCTTATTAAAACTAAGCATAAAACTTCAATTTTTCAAGGCTAAAATCATAAACTTCAAATTAGTATATCTAAATTAATAAAATTTTATTATACCAATTTCTAAACGTGTAGTACTACATTTTAGGAAAAGGTATCACAATTAAAATGAGACATGTAATAAGATACTTTTGAGAATACTGAATTAAAGGTCCAATTCCATCCCAGAGACCCTTAATTAAGATGTTTCTATACCTATCATGGCATCTAAATGAAGATAATCCAATTATGAGCATAATGAAATTTGTCAGATTTTGGTTTTGTGCAAAACTGGAATCAAAATCACAATGTTCAGGACTTCAGTGAGGTTTAGTCTTCACTGATTGTAAATTTGCATTAAAAAGTGAACATGAATACAATCAATATTAACTACAGTAGCCATGTGACACTGTAGATCTGTTGAATTTTTCCCTCCAATATACCTGAAATTTTGTTTCCTTTAACTGATATCCAACCCTCAGCCTCTTGGTCCTTGGTAACCACCACTCATTTCTGTTTTTATAATATGAATATTGTTAGCTTCCACATGGGAGTGGGTCTTTGTCTTACTGGGCCTGACTTATTTTATGTAACACACTACACTCCAGGTTCCTCTATGTTGTCATAAATGGCAAGATTTCTCTCTTTGTTAAAGCTGAAAAGCCTTCTGTAATGCACCACATACCCTTTATCATTTAGCTGTTGATGGGCATGCGTGTTGATTACATAACTTGGTTATTGTAAGGCTACCATGAACAGAAGTGTGTAGATGTCTCACTGACACACTGATTTAATTTCTTCTGGATATACATATACCTACTCATGGGATTGCTGGATCACATAGCAGCTCCATTTGTAATTTTGGGAGGGAATGACACACTGTTTTCCAAAATGGCTACACCAATATATATTCCTACAAACAGTGTGCAAGGGTCCCCCTTCCTCTCTCTGCATTCTTGCCAACAATTTCTACATTTTATCTTTTTGACACTAGCCATCCCGTGAGGCACAAGATGATACCTCTGTAGTTTTAGTTTGCTAGAAACGGCAAGAGAGTAGATTTAAACTATTCTCACAACAATAATTATGTCAGATAACACATATGTTTATTAACCAAAAATAGCCATTCCACACACAGAAACATATTCTAAAGCCCATGTTGTATGCCATAGATATATACCATTTTGTCACTTAAAATAATTTTTAAAAAGAAGAGCCATGGGGGCTGGGGATTTAGCTCAGAGGCAAAGCGCCTGCCTGGCAAGC